TCATTGATCTTCTGAGAAAATAGTTAATTACACCATGAAAACATTGCGAAGTAGCTACTAATGAAGAATAAAGCAGATTAAAAGCTATTTAACACAAAAGCAAACCTGTCGCTCGCTAGCCTAATTAATGCAGCACAGCTTTGTATCATCAAATGCAAAATCTTTACATGGGGGTCTTACAGGTAGCAAAACGGGTTTGGAAATGGTCATAAACTAAATTATGGCCATTTATGCGGAACAATAAAATAATAAATAAATATATTAAGTTATCTATCTATCTATCTATCTATCTATCTATCTATCTATCTATCTATCTATCTATCTATCTATCTATCTACAGTGGGGAAAATATTTAATCCCCTGCTGATTTTGTACGTTTTGCCTACTTACAAAGAAATGAAGGGTCTGTAATTTTTATGGTAGGTTTATTATTCCACACGGGCACATAACCAATCTGTGGGAGCCAGAATTCTTGCTGGTTAGTAGGGGATCAAATACTTATTTCACTCACTGAAATGCAAATAAATTTCTAACCTTTATATAATGTCTTTAATCTATCTATCTATCTATCTATCTATCTATCTATCTATCTATCTATCTATCTATCTATCTATCTATCTATCTATCTATCTATCTATCTATCTATCTATCTATCTATCTATCTATCTATCTATCTATCTATCTATCTATCTATCTATCTATCTATCTATCTATCTATCTATCTATCTATCTATCTATCTATCTATCTATCTATCTATCTATCTATCTATCTATCTATCTATCTATCTATCTATCTATCTATCTATCTATCATAAAACACAACAAATACATAAAAATATTTAAATATATCTAAAAACTATATAAACAATAGTGACCCCTTCACCGTCCAATCATATAAGAAAAAAGAAAGAAAAAAAAAGAAATGAAAAGAAAAAGAAAGAAATGAGAGGGGAAAATATTTGCTCCATCATATAGCAAACCCAAAGAAAACAGTTAAAAAGTTGCAAAACTACATTAAAAATGTCTCCACGTCACCACTTCTCTCCACATGCCTCTAAATTCAATCAATTTAATAATTTCACAAATATTCCAAGAAAGATGATTTGCATCAGATAAGCACGTCCTAGCTCTGTTGCCTATTATGTTTGTCCTTCAGATTGGGCAGGTGGAGACTCCTGTTGACAAACCAGCGTGACAGAATCTGCATTTTCACAGACAGAGGATGGTCAATCTAATTTAATGACTGGATGGAAGTAATGCACTCCCATGTGCAGTGTTGGGCAGTAGCGCATTACTTAGTAACGCGTTACTGTAATTTGATTACTTTTTTAGTAACGGAGTAATTTAACGCATTATAATTTTCAAAATAGTAATTAGAGTATAGTTACAAGCCGAGGTCACAATACGTAACTGCCGCATTACATTGCTGACAGAATGCAATGTTTTATAATCTAGATTGTAAAAAGGGTGTAGCACATGCACTGTCGAGTCCAGTGCCAGTGGATTAGAGACCTGCTCTCCCACGAGACACGACGCAACAGAGTGCAGGTGCGGGCGGATAGACACTCGTGTGTGTGCGGGATGCGGGATAATAAAATGATTCACGGGACTCCCGCAAAATAGAAATATCTAAATATAAAATGTCTAAAACAAATAAATTGTTATTCATCTATTGCACAAAAGCCACAAGAACTAATATAAAATAAAAAACGAGTAACAGGCGCAAGTGTAGGCAGAGTTTCTATTTAGGCTATAAAACGTGTTTGCTGCGTTGAGCAATGTTGATTTCTGGAATGCAATGGCCAGTCAGGAGTGCAGTGCTGAAATGTGCTTGGCCACGAATCCTCTCATTATAACACACGAATTGTAGACAGTATGAAAGTTTCATTATGCATATATTCATTGTGTTATAACAGAGCTTTGTGAGATTGCGATGAACTGAGATGTCAGCTTTTTAGAGATTATAAAAGCAGTGCTATTTGCTGGCATTTTGCCATGCCAAACATGTACGCAGAAGCCTGTGCTTGCTTTAGTTAAAAACAACAGTGTTCTGTGAATGTTGATGCTTTAATAACAAATATTTATCGGGAGCGTGTATGCTGGGATTTCATCAATTTCATGGAGAAAAAATTAACGTAGCTAGTAATTCAACTAATTACTGGGAGTGTGTATGATGGGATTTCATAAATTTCATGGTAACGTAAAAAAAGTAAAGTAACTAGTAATGTAACTAATTACTAATTACTTTTGAAATAAAGTAATCATAACAGTGACATGGTTACTTTTAAAAGGAGTAATCAGTAATCAGTAATTTAATTACATTTTCAGAGTAATTTGCCCAACACTGCTCATGTGACTTTCCACGGCTGGCCCTCTCTCCCCGTCCCACATCCCTTGCTATATAATCAGCACGTGGAAACATAGAATTTAAGAGCTCAATTACATGGTAGCTAAACATTTCCCAATCAGTGATTTCATACCTGTGACAGTAGAACAATCTTTTAATCTTTTAAAGCACTCATGTGTTGACCCTACTGCATGAGTGGTTATAGAGCATATAGAGGCTATTAGCACATTGATGCTATTCTAAAACTTTATTGCAAGCCGTAAACATGTCAGATGACAATTGCTCCATATTTCTTTTAAATCTCTTCCTTTACATTTGTAAGCAAGATCAAATATTTATCTAGACTTTCGAGTGTGTCATTTTGTTTTGAATGGATTGTCATGATGACTGCAGCCACCTCATAAGTCTTGCATGAACTTAATAATAGCGAGAAGAAAAAAATGCATGTTGTGGACACCTTAACACAAAAACTAGTCAATCAAATGCATTTTTCTTGATCTGTCAATAGCAAAGACATTGGATCATCTTTTGTCAAGGTTACTCTCTATGCATCTCCGAGATGATCTCATTCCTTGATGCAAAATTGCTACTCAAATCATTAATTAACTCAGCATGCAAGAGGGCTAATATCCATGCCTGCATTTCTGTCCACAGGACAGCAGCCTACAATCCGCCCACCTCTAGGTTTCGAGGGATGCCGTGAATAGCCCAAGTGCATTCTCCATTCAGAAACCGGGGCCTAGGGTTGCATTATTCATCATGAATAAATGATAAACTATTTTTGCCCTCCTGTTCTGTTCTGAGAGCTACTGGAATAAAAATAGAGGAAAATAAGAGAAAGCCTGTGAGATAAATAAGAAGAGAAAGGGCTGGGGAGGGGTGAAAGAGTGTGAAATGAGAGCACAGAGGCTGGTATCTCTCTTTCTGGCTGCATTAGAGTGGGTTTGCTGAAGGGAAGGAAAAGCCGATTTGGGATGAGAGCCAAACAACTGCATGTCACACAGGCTTCTGAGCCACTGATTGCTCTCATTGCCCCTCTCTTTGTTCTCAGAGATTGTGAGGTAACACAAGCTTAATCTACAGAACAAAACTGCAACTCAAAGAATAAAGACTTGGGACTTTTTGTCCAGACTGATATGACAGTGCCTGTGATAGAAAAATTATATTAATAATGTTGCACTCGGTTATATGTATAATAGAACATATTCAGCTTCAGTAATGTGACATATTACCAAGTGAAACTGGGTTTGATTGGATTGTCAAAATATGGAACATATGGTTTAGACATTGTTTTTTCACCACAACTTTAGTTACACCAGCAAAAAGGAAAAATTACATGTGGAGATGAAAGATTATGAAAACGAATATTGCTAACACTTTAGAATAATGGTCCATTGTTAACAAGTAAGTCCAGACTGATATGACAGTGCCTGTGATAGAAAAATTATACTAATAATGTTGCACTCGGTTATATGTTAGAATATAATAGAACATATTCAGCTTCAGTAATGTGACATATTACCAAGTGAAACTGTGTTTGATTGGATTGTCAAAATATGGAACATATGGTTTAGACATTGTTTTTTCACCACAACTTTAGTTACACCAGCAAAAAGGAAAAATTACATGTGGAGATGAAAGATTATGAAAACGAATATTGCTAACACTTTAGAATAATGGTCCATTGTTAACAAGTAACTATGCAGGAAGTAATAGGTAGTACTACATTAACACGTAACTTAATACTATTAACTAATCGAGAAGCAAGATTAACTAAGCAGTAAGTAGTAGCAAATTTAGGACAAAGGTAGTTCCTTATTAGATATTTGATAATTATTAAATAAAAATATCCTCATTGAGAACTACTTGTGAACTATGACCAGTTAATAAAGAATAACAAATTAATTACTAATCACAACAGTAACGTCTTAAAAGTGAACAATTGGGTTCTTTGTGGAAACTAATTTATGAATTTGATATCCCCCAAATAAGTCGGCTACATTTTAAAATTGTGACTACTACTCTTACTAAAGGATGGATGTTCAAACTTAAACAGAGCATAATAATAAAAATATAAAATATGTTAAATAACTTATTAATTTTCTTGTGAGTAATTACTGAGGTGTTAACGTGTTTTTCACTTTAAAATAATGGTCCAGATCACTAGTAGTTCCTTAGTAGCACTTTAGCTTTAAAGTGAAAAATACATTAGCCTCTCACTAAATACTAAAGCGTTACCTTGTCAGCCTGCAGGAACTACTAGTGATCTTCCCATAGAATTCCACTGTTAAACATGATTATCTAAATATAAGCTAAAATATATTTCATGGTATATTTTGAATTATTAAATATATTAAAGTTTTAAAAATAATCAGACTGAAATAACTGCAGAAGTGTGTGGAGAAGAACAGCATGGTTACAATAGGCCTATACATTATTTGTTCTGTGCCGGTTACGTAATATCTCAGGTGGCCCAAGGAATGATTTATATATTATTAATTGCCTTGCACAAAGAACAATAATCATTTAACAACAGATGTTACAACACATTAGAGGTTATTATACGTAGTTCCCATATGTATTATTCTAAGAACTGCTGTTGTTCTTTCTGTCTATGGAAACTAATAGTTAGTTGAAGATTAATTGTCCTTACCAGATGGAGGTCCACACAAGTCGAGTTGTTTTCACACATGTTGCTGACACAGTCATTGATGTCCTGCTCACATCTTAATCCAGCGTAACCAGGGTTACACAAGCAGTAAAAACCATCCACAGCTGCAGCAGGAAACACACAAGGAGACAGGAGAATTCACTATAGAATCGATGAAATACAGTTTCCTATTTTAGAAACGCATAAGAAACATTTACAGAAATAAGTAAAAAAGTAAAATCGCAATGACGTGCTTACGAACTTCATCATTCAATGACGTTGTAGGTACAATATTTATCTTGGGCAACATTTTCAGGGCTGGTTATGAAATTAAACCTTGTAAAGCAGATGCCAGTGCACAGTTCATAGCAAGCAATAAAAATCACTCAACCCAATTTTACAATCATTCGTAACAAATTTTTTACATTTTTATTTGATCAAAAATACTGTAAAACAATGTTGTCAAATATTACTACAATTTAACATAACTCTTTTCTATTTCAAAATATTTAATGTATTCCATTCCCAGGTATTGAAAACAGTTGTGCAGCTTAATATTTTTGTGGAAATTGATACAATTTTTCAGGATTCTTTGATGGACATAAATGTCAAAACAACAGCATTTATTTGAAATAGAAATCTTCTGTAATATTTTAAATGGCTTTACTGTCACTTCTGAACTTCATAAAAAATGTATAATTTTATTTTGTTAGCATCCCTAGCACAGTTAGCTAACCACCTATGATATTTTTGCAATGTCAATATCCATGTGCATTTCTTGTAGGAAATGTGGGATGACACACATAATAAACAATTATAAACCAATTAGAATAAACAACTTGCATAGAACAAATGCTGTGCATATATACAAATTACCTTTAGATTTTCAGATTTTAAGAGATGGCAACTTGACATTTTAAGCACTTAAGACGTTTAAAGACACTTAAGACATTCAATCTGTGGCTTAATTTTTTTAAGATCTACAAACACCTCGTTTTTACACCCTCCACAGCCACAGAAGTCAAAAGACTTATCATATTCTCATCATATTCTCTCTTTTGTCTGTAAACCATTGTTCCTAAGCTTATCAGTAAAATTGATTTTCTCTGCTTGTGCAATTCTGTGGTCGTTTATATTCACCCCAGCAGCTGGAAACACAGTGTGTCCAATTAAATGTAAAATGTGTGTTTGTGTCTCTTTTACAAATGCTACAAGAGTGTCGCTGTCCACGGTCTTTACGTTGCATCTGACTTCTGAAACCTAATGACCCATTCCACAAGCCTTTAATCATTAACGGCGTTGAGAAGAAATGCATCCCCTGCCTTTCTGCTGCAAAACAGCAGCCTGCGATAGAGGTAATTGTGGGTCCTTACAGCCGCAAATTTATTACAAGGCCTGCGCCGAGTCCCAGGATTCTTCATTATCCCTTAGATTTACCACGTAATCTATGCTGCCACTCTGTCTTTGTTCATGTACCCACGATTACTCTCATTAAATGCTCAGGGTCCAGAGTGGCACCCGTATTACTCACACCAGCTTCTCAAAAGATACACCTTGCTCTCTCACTCTCTCCCCACACAAACACAGCAGATCGCACACTTCATATATTGTAGACAGGCCCTGAGGGACTGCATGTGTGGGGCTCTTTTTGCTGGTGCACTCTGGGAGAAAGTAAACAAGTAAACTTTGTCTGACGGAGATTGTAGGAATTGGAGATGTTGGTAGACAAGACAAAGTGGCTGCAGGTTTGAATCCAAGTGGTGGACGAGGAATACTTGGTTGCCTGGTTACAAAATTGTCCTTCATTTCTGTCACCATTTTACCTCAGAGCATAGTACTTAACTGCAGGTTGCTCTGGGAGTGCAATTAGTGAACTACATGTCGGTTTGGATAAAAAGCATCTGCTAAATGGCAAGAAATTAGAAGTAAGGTACATGTATAGTATAAGTTAGCAAAGCACAATATAGCATACAGTAATATTGCATTACAGCACAATTCAGTGTACCACAGCATGTTAATATGCATATCAAAACTGTGAAGTGAGTTTCATGCATTAAAGTTACACTTAGTAGTTATTTCCTCATGTAATAAACAATTCATCATTAAGACATTTTATCTTTGAACCTTTGTTTCTTGCCAAATTACAAGTCCATAATAATGCTTCCTCCAGTGAAAAAGTCCGTCTTCTGTTGTCTTCTCACATCAAAATCCTCTGACATATTTGTTTAGAACTGTTTTAGCTTGTAAATGGTACTTGATTCCTCTCCTGCTTCAGATGAGATATATTATTGAATATTATTGAAGTTAAAAACACCTTAATGATGGATTTGTTTCTTACACACACTTTTGCTTCAAAAGATTTTAATCGATGAACTGGAGTTGTGCGGATTATTGTGATGCTTTTTTTTTTTCAGCTGTTTGGACTCTTTCTGACGGCACCCATTCACTGCAGAAGATCTACTGGTGAGAAGGTGATGTAATGCTAAATTTCTCCACATCTTTTTGGAAGGAACAAACTCATCTACATCTTGGATGGCCAGAGGGTGAGTAGATTTTCAGCAAATTTTCATTTTTGGGTGAACTAAAAGTTTCACACAAAGACATGAACAGTAATTACAAAAAAATATCTTTAAAATTATGTACACTCAGACGAAAATGAAGTCTTTAGCTACATTAGTATATGAACAAATGCTTAATATATGTCGAACACAGAGATGCCAGCATGTACTGCATTCAAAAGTTACTGATTACTGGTCTACTGCCTGGGGTTTCTGTTTTATGATGCTCTTATATTCGTCATCTGTAAAATCACCACACTGCTTGAAATTATCTTTAACAGATTAATATGACTATAGTCTCAGTTAAAGCTCTAATTTCCCTTTTTGATTCCAAGTGCCCCTATTGCCAACAATATTCAGAAATTATTTTCAAAGGATTTATCTGGTACTTCTGTTGTAATAACAAAGCTGCTCATTTTCAAACGTTTTTATATAGGTTAAAATGAAATAAATGAAGTACTTAAACTGAAATTCCATAATTCCAGAAGTTTCAATAATTGTTCTTTATGAACTTTATATTACCAATGAATTTAGATGACTCTTCTAGTTTATTTTATTTTTATTCACTAAAAGCAATTTCTACCCTATAAAATATTTTAGAGGTTGAAATAACTAGAAAAAAAATCATTGTAAAAATTGTATTAACTTCTGTGACTTTTTCCAGATCTATAAATTACACAATTAAAATCCCTCATATAACCCAATTTTCCAAGACTGTGAGAACCCTGCTTATTAAACTCAAATGATTGTTGCTGCGGGAACAAACAAACAAACAAACAAACAAATAAATAAATAAATACAACAAAATGAAATAAAAAGAAATTACAATGACAGCTTACATCTTGAATTTGAGAGGTTTTAGCTTACTCCAAAGACTTCTGGAAAACTGGATAACTTCAAAACGGAAGCATTAAAGCCTATTCATCAGAATCCTGCAATGTTCAAACCTAAAGCAGGATGTTTAGCAAGTTGATAGCAAAAGTATTTAGACAAAAGGACACTGGACAACACATACTGAATTTGAAAGTGTTTTCTGCTACTTTTAGGGGACGATTTACAGCCTCTTTTAAACAAACTGTAAAATCTTAAGCAGTTATCAAAGTCAAGGTTTGTCTTCCTCTCGGTGTCACTGCAATGACATCCACCTTTATGCTATATGGAATTGAATCTTTATCACCCAAATAAAATACTGCCAACTGGAAAACATCTTCTGTGACTCATTTTAAAGGCCTTTTGCTATATATATATGTCTTAAATGTGAAGGTGTAAGTTTTATATGCAATAATAAAGACTGTTTTCAAACAGGTTTCCTAAACACTTTGCCTAACTGCCATTGGTTAGAGGGTTGTATGCAATAACTGATCATTTAGCCTACATATACAACAGCATACTTTATTGCAAAGGCCTATTTTGTGCTTTGCAATCTGTATTCCCTAACTGACAACATATATTTGATCTACGGCTTTTGCAATGATTTATACAGAAGATGCAACACAAAAGGGCAAAAAACAGCTTATTGGATTGCTGAGGGAGAACAACACCCTGCCTTGGGCTTTGATTGTATTAACTCTGTCATTTATCATCCATTATTCAAATTACAAAGCAGCATTTATGCCTTACAGATCCTCGCTCACAGCTGGAGCAAGACACACCAAAGCACAACAAAGCAACTGTGGCCTGGTCATACTGAATGGAGTAACTTGGGTCTCATAAAACTGCTTATAAAACTAAGTCACGGCTAACACTGTCAAAGGCATAAACCAACAGTGCCTTTGCCTTGGCTTTCTAGAGTATCAGTGTGCTAATGAGACTGAAGGGAAACGTTTAGAGTTTGGGAGTTCAAGGCTGAGAACTACAGTATTTACCGTCGTAACAGAAGCCGTGTAGACAGGGGTTGGAGCTGCACTCGTCTATGTTGATCTCACAGCGGGGCCCTGTGAAACCCTGGCGACATCGGCACTGGAAACCCAGAGGGAAGAGGACAGGATCAGCTTCCTCCACACACTCTGCCCCGTTATCACATGGATTAATGACCTCACAGGGCAGCAACTCGCAGTTAATCCCTGAAATTCCAAATACAGAATGAGAAATACAATTCCATCTGCAACAAAAACAACAACAGAAAATGTTTTGACTCTTTGTTTACTCTACAAATTCATATAATTAATTATTTAAAAAGCCTCTATTGCTACATTTAAGTCAAAAGCAGCCTTGTCACTTCTGAAAGGGTCCCACACATTTTGACCACTGAATTTCCATGACTTTTCCAAGACAGAGGCACAAACAATCCTTTTTTGTCACCTAAGGAGCAATTTATTATTTATTATTTTGATGTACCATCATACATAAAAAAATCGAATTAATTAAAATGAAACCACTTTGTGGAGTACATTGAGAGTGAGTGACTCTTCCAGTCACTCACAAGGATTACTGCACAAGGATTTATTTATACATTTAATTAATTTATTTTTTAATTACAGTTTAGTAATAGCATTAATTAAGTGCAATTTCTCACCTAAGACTTTTTTCAGGCCTTGATAAAACCGTACACATTTTTGAAAGGTTTATCTTTAAGTATTTTATCTTTACACATTTTTACCCTGCTGACTAGTTTGGACTATCTTATTAATTGTAACTGGTTTTAGATGAGTAATGTTGTTTAGATGAGTAATATTTTTTTCCAAGCACATTTTACCAATTCCAAACGACATCAATCTTTATAACTACTATTAATCTTGTATTTAAATATTTAGAATTTATATAAAATTATTAATGAAGGCTGGAAGTGAAAAATGGCTTATATTCAGGTGTGCATAATTATTAAGCAGATTTTCTTTTACAGATAAAATGAGCCAAAAAAGAGATTTAACTCATTATCATCCATTATTCAAATTACAAAGCAGCATTTATGCCTTACAGATCCTCGCTCACAGCTGGAGCAAGACACACCAAAGCACAACAAAGCAACTGTGGCCTGGTCATACTGAATGGAGTAACTTGGGTCTCATAAAACTGCTTATAAAACTAAGTCACGGCTAACACTGTCAAAGGCATAAACCAACAGTGCCTTTGCCTTGGCTTTCTAGAGTATCAGTGTGCTAATGAGACTGAAGGGAAACGTTTAGAGTTTGGGAGTTCAAGGCTGAGAACTACAGTATTTACCGTCGTAACAGAAGCCGTGTAGACAGGGGTTGGAGCTGCACTCGTCTATGTTGATCTCACAGCGGGGCCCTGTGAAACCCTGGCGACATCGGCACTGGAAACCCAGAGGGAAGAGGACAGGATCAGCTTCCTCCACACACTCTGCCCCGTTATCACATGGATTAATGACCTCACAGGGCAGCAACTCGCAGTTAATCCCTGAAATTCCAAATACAGAATGAGAAATACAATTCCATCTGCAACAAAAACAACAACAGAAAATGTTTTGACTCTTTGTTTACTCTACAAATTCATATAATTAATTATTTAAAAAGCCTCTATTGCTACATTTAAGTCAAAAGCAGCCTTGTCACTTCTGAAAGGGTCCCACACATTTTGACCACTGAATTTCCATGACTTTTCCAAGACAGAGGCACAAACAATCCTTTTTTGTCACCTAAGGAGCAATTTATTATTTATTATTTTGATGTACCATCATACATAAAAAAATCGAATTAATTAAAATGAAACCACTTTGTGGAGTACATTGAGAGTGAGTGACTCTTCCAGTCACTCACAAGGATTACTGCACAAGGATTTATTTATACATTTAATTAATTTATTTTTTAATTACAGTTTAGTAATAGCATTAATTAAGTGCAATTTCTCACCTAAGACTTTTTTCAGGCCTTGATAAAACCGTACACATTTTTGAAAGGTTTATCTTTAAGTATTTTATCTTTACACATTTTTACCCTGCTGACTAGTTTGGACTATCTTATTAATTGTAACTGGTTTTAGATGAGTAATGTTGTTTAGATGAGTAATATTTTTTTCCAAGCACATTTTACCAATTCCAAACGACATCAGTCTTTATAACTACTATTAATCTTGTATTTAAATATTTAGAATTTATATAAAATTATTAATGAAGGCTGGAAGTGAAAAATGGCTTATATTCAGGTGTGCATAATTATTAAGCAGATTTTCTTTTACAGATAAAATGAGCCAAAAAAGAGATTTAACTCAGACTGAAAGTCAAAAATTATTAAATGCCCATGAGAAATATTCAAAACTAATACAATACTAGAAATTGCAAAGTTAATGCATAACCATTGGACAGCAAAATGCTCAGTGGGTCAGTCAAAAACATGTGGAGAAGAAAAGATGCATGTTAACTGCAAAAGAATTAGGAATTAAGGTGAAGAATTAAATGTGAAATCACCAGGAACCATTTCGTCTCCAGCGCCACCATTTTCCAGAACTGCAACCTACCTGGAGTCTCCAGAAGTACAAGGTGTCAGCTTCTCAGAGACTTAGGAGAAGTATAGAATCCTAAAAAATTACCCCTACTTAATAAGAATAACATACTGAAGTGTAGTAAAATACTCGAAGACTGATTTATATATATGCAATATATATAGGCTTTATAGACAGATAAGTTGAGAGTGACTCTTGAAGGACCAGCACCACATCCTCTTGTACCACTG